GACATGTTCCAGGGATCCCCAGCAAAACAAAGCTATGTGTCAAGCCATGTTTTTACCAGTCATTACCCAGTATTAGCAAGCCCTTACCATGTTTCTCTTAACTCCTTTGTCAGTGCAAGCAAAACAGGTTAGCCAGAGTATATACGACACATGAAACTGTCTTATACCAGGACAGACCATTGATCTATCCTGGCCAGTGTCTACTCTGACTGTCAGAGGCTCTCTAAGGTCTCAAGCAGAAGGCTCTTCCATCACTTGTTTCTTGATCCTGTTGACTCTGTCCCGAGAGTGAACCTGAGGTCTTCTGCATGCAGAGCAGATGCTTTACTGTGGAGCCCACCACCCCTCCTCTTAAAGAAGAGAGCATGCATGTTGCAAGGGGTGCTTGTACAGTTCTTCTGTTCTCCATTTTGTTCTCACAACAACCCTGTGAGGTAGACTAGACAGAAAGAGGACTGTGAATGGCCCAAGGTCACTTAGTAAGGTTAGTTGCAGGACACGGAGATGTCTCGCCAAGGACAGCCCAACACATGAACCACAACACCACAGTGGTAGTCTCTTTTAAGTTTCCGTTCTGGTCGGACAGTGGAGTGTGATCCCTGACTTTACCCCCTCCCAAGATTTCCTTTTCCTGGGGTGTGTTAGGGGGGCAGGTTGTAACCTGTTGTGAAAAGCCAACCTCACCTGCAAGATGGCCCTGGAGGGCACCACAGCACACTCCACATAGTGGGTCAGGTCAGCACTGCATTTGCCAGGCTCCAGGAAGCTGTCAATCAATCTGTAACATGCCTAGAAAGGGGGAGGGGGAGCAGGATGTACATTTCTTATTAAAACAGGTATCCAAAAATCTCCCCAAAGACTCTGGAATAGGTGACAAAAACAATTTGGGAAATTGTTGTTAGATAAAACTGCAGAGGGAAGTAAAGATTAGAAAATTGCAGACGGAAAGTCAAACCTTGTTAGGTGGACAACAATGCATAGACAAAAAAGGGGACATTAAGAAGCATCATACTAAGAAGTCACTGCTCATCCCTCACCACTAACACTTGGTCTAATTAAATATGGACTTCTACACATTCCAAGGGCACTCTTGCTTAATCTTTGATAGACCCATGGGTGCCTGCGGGGGGTGGGGAGCAAGAAGGGCATTTGCCCCACTTGCAGAATCCTAAATTTACTGATTTTTTAAACATACTCTAACACACACACTTCCAACTGGTCACCAAGAGTCTAGTGCAATTTCTGAGTGACCAGCACTCCCCCCCCCCCCTTGGATGGACCTTCTGAGAAAAGGATACTCTAAAGCAGGTATCAACAGAGGTGCTCTGTCATTCAGACTGCAGCAAAAGACCCCTTCAACTGATCTGAAGGAGAAACACAGACTGGAGCAGCAAGCAGTCTCTAAAACTGTGGCTTTGCCCTTGATCCCAAGCCTGCCGGGAAGTTTCCCCTGTGCTCCACCTTTCCACCTCTTGGAGGAGGAGGAGATTGGATTTATATCCCGCCCTTCACTAACCAAAGGAGTCTCAGAGCTGCTTAAAATCGCCTTTCTCTTCCCCTCTCCACAACAGACACCCTGTCAGGTAGATGGGGCTGAGAGAGCTCTCATGAGGACTGCTCATGAGAGAACAGCTCTGAAAGAACTTGTAAATGACCCAAGGTCACACCAGCAGCTGTATGTGAAGGAGGGGGGAATCAAACCGGTTCTCCCAGATTAGAGTCCACACTCCTAACCACTACACCAAAGTCCCAACAGGACTTACAATTACTTTTGCTCTGACTTCCTGGTCCCCGGGAGGCCCTGGCCCACAACCAATGTTCCCTCTAAGCTGTGGAGTCTCATGAGCAAAAATTCTACTTTGTGAGCCACTGGCATTAAAGTTGTGAGCAAGCGATTGGGCTGCGTTTGCTCTGGAGCCATCCTTCCTGAGCTAAGATAAAAATGTGTGAGCCGGAGGCTAAAGAACTGTGAGCTAGCTCACACTAACTCAGCTTAGAGGGAACACTGCCCACAACTTACCTTCAGGTCCTTTTTGAGACGCTCAATGTTGCGTGCATTCACCAGTTCCTCCAGGCCCAACACCAGCACCTGGAGCAAAACATATGACCCTCTCCTAAATCAGTAAGAGAAATCTCTCAAGGAAAGAGGACTGCTGCACTTTGCGCAAAGGAGGACAACCGCCGGCTCCCTCAGAAGTGGAGTGAGTTCCTAGCCCTGCTTTTGTCAGCGTGTGCTCTGTGCTCTTTAGGAGCAAGAACTTTGGGGTTCTCTAATACCCCAGGCGCAAAGAGTGCACACTTTTCTTACAGGGTAATTTATCTACTGTGATCCCAAATCCACGCTCACAGTCACTAATGCAGACTTGGATCCCTGCTCCAGCTACAGCAAAGGTCCCCAACATGGTGCTCGTGGGCACCCACCCACACCTTTCCTGGTACCCATCAAAGTGTTTTTAGAAAGTGGGTGAGGCCAGGTGGGTGGGGCTTTTTGCCCATCAGGGCTTCTGATTGCCCACTGGAGATCTGATTGGTTGGGCAGATTAAAATAATATTGTTTCAGCAGAAGCTGCCACTTCAGTGTTGTTTTTATTCTCTCTCGTTCCTCTTTCCCAGTGTGTTTTTAAAATTTACCCCTCTTCTCTCCTGCACTGGGGCTTCTTCTGTGTGGTTGTGCCTCACCGCCTTCGGCAGCCACTTTGTGGTTGTGCCCACCACCCTCTGTTAGAATTCCAAAGGTGCAGTCAAGATGGAAAAGGGTGGGTGACCCCTGAGGTATAGCATGCACCAGAAGAACTGCGACACATCTACTCTTTCACCACCTCAATGGCAAGTCCAAAAGGATGGCTAAGAAGTGCATTGGAGAACTGAAACAACAGATTTTTAAAACGTAGTGAGCTATGGGACTAATTAATACCTTGGGTTTAGCAGGCTGGTTGGGGAGGGGGCTGGAAATCGAGAGCTGGGCCCTTGGAAAGGTAGCTGCTTTTAGGGAGTACAGCAAAGGTCCTAGAAGAAATTGCTTACCAATCCCCATCCTTGCTCAACAAACTACCTACTGTCAAGACAGTGGCTTGCCTAGTAGCCTCCTGGCTTTTAAAAAACATTGGTTCAGGGTTCAGGCCTACAAAGTCATAGAGGGTCCTCTCTCTGGGAACTCAAGATCACGCTGACTGCAGTTTCAGAGAGCAAGGTAAGGAGGAGATGGGAGTCTTACACAGGTGTCCCTGAAACCAAGGGGCCTGAAGGTTTCAAGGCCAGGAACTGGGAGGGAATTTCACCTAGATATTCCATCTCCTTAGGGCATGGACTCCTGGGTGGGGAAAGGTGCCTTGGGGCCTGCATGCCAATGCAGGTTACAGGGTCTCAGGCTAGCAACACAACTGATTGGCTAAGGTCACCTGGTTAGCAACAGATCTGACTAGTCAACTAGAATCACACTAACACAGATAGTTTGGCATAAAGGAAGATTCTTCATTCTAGCCTGTGTCCTTTGCCTGGACTGTATCTGCCTTTTGGTCATCTCTTGATTCTGAAACAGGTTGGAGCCTTGCTGGCTGGAACAACTGCCTGTGACTTTGAAACCCTGTTTGGACTCAGTCTGGTCAGGTAACATCTGAATCAGAGAACCAATACTTGTAAAAGTGCCTTAGGTTACATATTTAGCTTTTATTATTTTATTCTTGCTATTCACTGCTCTTATATCATGTATCTCTGCACAGTCCTTTAGCAACTCTTATTCATTGTATTTTGTGGTATTCTTGGGTTTTGGAGTACTTTAGCCCTTTATTGGCTACAGCTAGCAGAGTCATTGTTTTTGGAACTCAACTTGCAAGTGTCCCACCTTACAGGGCTGACTTCTTGATTTAGATCCATGAGGGATGGTCCCTTAGTCTATGGCTGGCAGTTTAGTAAGAGGACTGGTGGTGGCTTGCTTACTCTGGGGTCGTGAGGCTTCACTGCTCAGCATTTTGTTGTTTTGCTCTTGTCCAACCTGTCACCCTGAAGAAGTAACTTTTAACACCTACTGCAAAGGCAGAAGTTGCATAGGTTTCCCCACTTTTTTTGATCATTCTAAATGATCAGACACATTTCCAGGCACCAGTGGTGATTTAACACTGAAGAGGATCTGCAGCTTTTATATGCAATGTCTAAAACAAAGGCTAAGCTTATCACAGAACTAACTTAGCTGCTCCCCTTTGAATGTTTGTCCCACCCACCAATGGACTGGGCTTGTACTGCAAGCTCCTTTTACAGACCGAGGATGGAATGGCATTCCGTCACCCCAATTGCTCACCATGGCACTGAAGACATTCTCGAGGAGTCTCCCAAGGCTGAAGTCACTTGCACCTTCATCGGAAGACAGGACAATGAGGGTGATGCTGGGAACATTAAACATAAAATATAGAAAGAGAGAGGCATGGATGCCGGAATGCCATAGAAGGCTATGCCCATTCATTGCTACAGCTTTCAACAGACACCTGTGTATTTTCAAAGACCTGTCTCCCAATACAGCATTAATACGCCATCTTTATGGTAGCTTAACTCGAACATCGAGAGCACTTAATAATGCTGAAATATGTTGATTGATTTTAAATGTTTTTAATTGTTTTATGTGAGGCTTGTGCCTGATTGTGAGCCGCCCTGAGCCTGCGCTGCGGGGCGGGCGGGCTATAAACCGAATTTATAAATAAATAAATATAAATACAATGGCTAGCAACTTGTTTTGGCATTATCCTGAAACAAAATACAAAATACCTGAATTAAGTTCTTAATAATCGTAATTGTGTGCTGTCAAGTCACAACCCACCCAGGCAACCCCAGGACCATGAGTTTTGAAGGCAAGAGATGAACAGAGGGGTTTTTGCCATAGCCTTACTCTGCCTAGCAATCCCTGTCTTCCTTGGTGCTCTCCCATTCAAGTACTACGGCTGATCCTGCTTAGCTTCCAAGCTCTGATGAGATCAGGCTAAGTTGGGCAATCAGGCTGCTCTAGCTGTATGTTTGGGGAGGGGAATATCTTAGGAAGCAAAGAGAGCCCAAGAAAGCAAGGCCTCCTTTTAACTGCTTTTTTGTTTGCACTCATTTGTGCTCCATTACGTTGTCACTACGTGGTGGCACAGATCTCTGCAACCAGAAAAGTAAGAGAACCCCCCCAAAGTTCTAACAAGGTCTCAGAAGTTGAATAATACACTATCCCCAACGTGTCATGAGAATTGCTGCATACTGTGGTAATGTGGGTGCTAATGAGAAGGATGAGAGAGCGGGAGCCAAGAAAAGTGCCTGAGATCATTCTGCCTAATAACACCCCCCCAAACCTTCTTCAAATGGATGTACTAAATAAAGACAGCCCATATCCTGAGTATCAGCCAGGGACCTGAAAGAACAGAAACTGATATTTTCAGTATTCCCACTATTTGATAGCAACTACAAGAATTGATTATAATTTGCATACTAATGTGTACCCCCTGATCAGCTGATATCAGTGCAGTAGTTCTTGGGGTACAACTTCTTTGCTCACCTGTTGTGGAACACTTTCCACACCACACGAGTGTTCTCTGTACAGGCAGCTGTCAGCAGGACATCCAAGTTGGAACCAAACATGTGAACCCCATTCAGGGAGCCAATCACAGAGAAGGGTAGCTAGGAGAAGAACAGGTGAACATAATTATAATTTTTGTATGATTTATAACACTTTTTTACTAAGTGCTTCATAGTTCTCATCTCTTTTACCCTAATAACAGCCCCAACTAATTTCCACAACAGCTATGCAGCTGCCACAGTTGAAACAGGAATCTTCACACTAGAAGCCTTCCCAAGATGCAATCTAACACACACTTCTATTGAAAACAGGGGGGACTTACTTGCCCTAAGAAAGCTTCATATATTTACTAGTAGGCCAGACCATTGGCCGCTCACAAAGTATTGTCTACTCTGACTGGTAGCTGCTCTCCAAGTTCTTTCTTGAAAGGATTTTAAGTGGGCAACGTATGCACTGTACCGTACTAATTGTACAGATTGCTGAGTCTAAATCTGTCTGCATTTACACTTGTTGGGGAGGGGGGGGATCAGTTACCACAAATAATACATTCATTTAAATAAATGAATCAAGAATATACTAAAATGTTCCAGTTTATTTTGGGAGACAGAAGGAAGGCAAAGTTTTATCAAAGTGCTTTTCCAAGGGGAAGCAAAAGGGGCTGTAATGATAATGTCACAGAGCCCATCTCTTAATATACAGAAATAACAGAAAGTTTGTGGTTTTATTTTAATATAAATGTAACTGCTGTCCGAAGGTCCCTGCCACACAGAGGTATAAAGCACGGCGAAAGTGCGGCTTTTTAGAGCTGCACCAAAAGAGACACGCGGCGGCGGGATCACACAGATCTCCTGAGCCGCCACGCAGTTGCTCCCCAGCACAAACAGATGCCGGGGAGGAAGCCACTGACGGGAGACAGAGGCGGACGGGAGCCTCGAATGCTCCTGCCGATGGACGTGCCGGCGATCCCACGGCCGCGCTTAATGTGGCGTGTCAGGTTGGTTCTACCTTTTTCTAGGTTTTTTTTTAGTGCACATTTTAGGCCTAAAGGGACAGATTGGGGACGGGTGCACGCCGATTCCCAGATGTTGTGGTGAGATTGCGCCCGTTTGCTGCACCCCCGATCCGTCCAATTTCCGGGCCAAAACCTCCCGTGTGGGGCCTGAGTACAGCAAAAGTGACTACCATTTCTCAAGAAAGTGGCTTGTGTGCCTTTTTCAAGTCAAAGGTTTTAAGATGCTACAAAACTCTTCCAGGTGGGTACCTCTATTCATTTGAAGCAGCAAAATAAAGTAGGAATCCAGTGGGACCTTGACTGCTAACAAAATGTATTCCCGAATGAGGTTTCCTGAATCACTTCACCAATGCATCAGCGAGCTCCAGCTCACAAAAAAGCACAACATTCATCCATCTATCTTCATGAAATAAAGTTTACACTAGAATTGTTACCACTGGATTCTTGGTTCATAAGACTCTTCGCTTTCCAACGACAGTACAAATCTATGCCTCGTAGGAATCTGTATCCTATGCACATTAGGAAAGATCCCTGTGCTTAGCAAACGTGAAGCAAAGAAATTCTCCTGAGGGAGATGGAAGCAGCAGCCACAACCCTCACCTGCTGCTTGACGGAGCCACCCCGGCTCCTGCAATACAAGGGCACTCCACTACTGGCTGTGAGGCACAGCAAGGTCACGGAGTCCCCTGTTTCCTCCCACATCTTCACACTGAAGAACTCCGCCGACGGGTTCCCGCCCCGCTCTTTTCATTCCTCTTCCAAATACCAACCACCGATTCCTAATCTTTCCCCTAGCTCAGGGCCGCCATCTTGATCGCCCACTGAATGCCGGGATACACAAGCAGCACCATTGCCATGGTAACAAGCACTCTTTAGTGGTTGGCTACTCTCCTGTGTTTCTTCCCCGCCCCCTCCATCGTCCCGCCTCTGAGAAGAAAGAAAATTAATTCTGCTAAAAGAGGGCAGAACTAGTCGAGTATTATACGCACGCGCGCTGAAGGCCAGACCAGAAGGAGAACGTTTCCGGTCGACGAGCAGCAAGGCAGAGCTAGCCGGATGTCAGCGTTGGGGAGGAGAAGGGGGGTGGGAGGGTGGGAATAAGGGATGGAAGTCAGTCTTTGAGGGAAATATTGCCTTGGGAGAGGCTGAGTTAGAGACCCTTTCTCCATTTTCCTGTTTCTCTCTTTATTTGGCACATGGATTATTTCTCTTTCCTATTCTGCTAAACTAAAGTGATGTCCAGTGTGGAGAAAGCGGAGGCAGAGAATTTGGGGCTTCCTCTTCTATAATGTCGAGTTGAGGCGGTGCTAATCTCATGCAACTGATGAACAGGTGGTTCAGACCAGAGGATGCCATCGTCGTCCCCCCACCACCACCCCGGAACGTTTAATTAAGAAACTCGCTGCCACAAGATGTAAACGGCTGCCGTTGATGGCTTTAATAAAAAGGGTTAATGCACATCAGTGGCTATTAAAATAGTCGTAATTAAATGGAGCTTTTTCCATATCTGCTTGAGAGCAAGTGTGATGAATTGCTTAGAGTAATACACAGACATCCAAGCGAGATACTTCAGAATTCAAATTGGTGAAAACAATAGCATGGGCTTCCTTCGCTTGTGAGCTTCCTGGAAGCATTGGGGTGTGGTCCCTGTGGGAAAAAATATGTAAGACTAGGTGGATTTGATGTCTAATCAAGGAGGCCTTATGTCCTTTGAAAAGCAGTCTGGCTCTGCCTTACAGCTCTACTTCTGCTTTCTCCTTCCATAACCTGAACTCCACCAGTAAATTATCAGTCACTGTCTCTCTCCTTTTTTCATTGTTATGTTTACACCCTCCCCCACCAGCCAGCTCTAGGTTGGGAAATACCTGGAGATTTTGGGGGTGGAGCCTGAAGAGGGAAGGGTTGGGAAAGGGCTTCAATGGGGTATAATGCCATAAAGTTTGCCTTCCAAAGCAGCTGTTTTCTCCAGGCGAATTGATCTTTGTCACCTGGAGATCAGTTGTAATCCCAGGAGATTTCCAGCCACCATCTGGAGGTTGGCAACCCTACAGCAGATACTGTATGCATTCTGTGTTCCTTTGGCATTGAATATAATTAACTAGACATCGGTTTCAATTTTGCCTCTGTCATTAATTTTGTTGCTGTGTTTTGGTGTATAGCCCCTCTCCATTTTAGGTAGCTGGAGGAGATGGTGGTGCCAACGCTGGGGATGGTAGCCGACGTGGTCTTCGTCATTGAGGGCACTGCCAATCTTGGACCTTACTTCGAGTCCTTGCGCAAGCATTACCTCCTTCCTGCCATTGAGTGAGTGTTGTGGGGGTTCTAGGATATAGGAACATCTCTGTTACAAGAAAGAAGAGGTTCACGAGAGGTATAGGCACTGCTGGCGAAGGCAATGTTCAGAAAGTGCTCCTTTCTCAGAAGGGACTATGTATTTATTAACTTTACTTACTGCTAAGTTCTGTCTCACATATCATTATTTGCCTAATAATATAAAATATGTTTATGGGTCTGACCATATTGTTATTTGCCTAATAACAGAAAATATGTTTATTGTCTTCTAACAAGCGTGAATTACAGATAACAGTATTAAATTGGAATTACAAATAACAGCATTAAATTGGACTTTGCTCTGGAAAATTGTAGATTTGTTGAGTGGGTGTGGGCAAATCCGTTGCTCCTTTTTCACATTTGTGCAATGAAATATTAATGACTGACATCTTGGCATGTTTGTGACTGAACAAAAGTCTAAAATATTTGTTTACTCAAGATTTTATGCAAGTTGGTGATAAAACTCATCAATTAAATATGTTGGTTTGGCTTTCCAAATAAGTCCACAAAAGGTATGGTCAATTTTACTAGTTCACTCACCAGTGAATGCACTAATGTGTTTAAAGAGCCCTAACAATAAAAAGCCACTTTTGATCTCATACTTCTAATGTTATAAAACAGCTGTTGGGCATTTGGAGAATGAAGAAAAGAAGTAAAGCAAAAGGGAGAAATAAATATGTAGTTTTTAAGCCTTTGGAACTTCAAAAAAGGAATTCCCCCTTTCCTCCACCAACACATTTTGCCCAAACTTATGTGTGAAGTCACACACTGTACAACTGTACTTTTAAGTAATATCTGCTGTTTTCAGCAGGGCTTATCCACAGGTGAGTGTTCTTGTAATACCATGTGGTCTTACATCCAAGTAAACTTACATAGGTTTATAGTATAAGCAGGGCTTTTTTGTAGAAAAAGCCCAGCAGGAGCTAATTAGCCTATTGGGCCACACCCATGACAGCACAGCTCATTAGCATATTAGGCCACACCCCAAGCCTTCCCTTGGCTTGTTTGTGCACCCCGCGGCTGCGGGAAGCCTGAGCAAGCCTTCCCTTGGCTTTCTGGGCGCCCCGCAGCTGTGGGGAACCTGGGCAAGCCGGCCCTTGGACAGGCTGGGGAAGGCATTTAAATGCCTCCCCGGTCCTTCCAGCCGCCCCCCCAACCTGCCCGCCTCCGAGTCGCTGGGGGGGGTGTCGCTGTCCAGGCCTTCCCTCTGTAGCCACGCACGCAGAGGTTTTGGCTGTAGTGGGCATGGCCAACTCTGAAGCTAGCCTAAACTCCATTACTGTGTGTTCCTGCCCAAAAATAGCCCTGAGTATAAGGCTGTACATTCTCAATGAGATTGCTAAGCAGTCGGGTTAGAACGGATAAAAGGAAGTACTTCTTCACCCAAAGAGTGATTAACACATGGAATTCACTGCCACAGGATGTGGTGGCGGCTACAAGCATGGATGGCTTCAAGAGGAAATTGGATAAACATATGGAGCAGAGGTCCCTCAGTGGCTATTAGCCACAAGGTATAAATAGGTGATGCTCTGCATTCTTGGTGCTTGGGAGGCAACAGTGGGAGGCTTTCTAGTGTTCTGGCCCAACTGATGGACCTGATGGTACTTGGTATTTTTGGCCATTGTGTGACAGAGTGTTGGACTGGATGGGCCATTGGGCTGATCCAACACTGGCTTCTCTTATGTTCTTATTTTCTTATTTACTTGGAAATACATCCCACTAACCTCAGTGAAATATATGGGGTAACAGGAAGCTTGCAGTAAAATGTATCTAAATGGTATTTTATGAATAAATTGCAGTTATGTTCTCCCTCTTTGCTTATGTGTTCAAGAAGGTTTAAAATAATGGCTTACGACTTGAAAGGTATGGTATAGAAAGAGGGGAATGGAGAGGGAAGAAGAATACCATTCAGATTTCTGCCATTCTTTCAAGTCAAAAATAATTGCCACAAAAAGAAAAAAATGGCTGGTCTTGCAGTTTTCAGTCTACTCTGTCTCAAAGTGTCCAGGAAAATCAGGCATAAAAATGCAGTACTAAGTTAGCACAGGAAGGCGGGGCAACAGTGCAGCGACGTAGTTGAGTTTTCCCAGGGCTCTGAGACTCACCAACTTCTGGAGCTTTTTTAGGGGTTCATTTGGTTCTCCTTGGTCCCATCCGTTCGTCAGGAGTACGAACTGATTGCAGAGGACTTTTATATCTGAGCCCACCGTTTATGGCAACAACGGGTGTGGAGTCAGAATTGTCCTATCGCAGGAAGCACCGAAGACTAGCCGTGATAGCACGACTGACAAGTTGTATTACCCCTTTACAAAGAGCCTTCAGACCTCGTCATACCATCTAGGCGATTAACTTGTGAGTACTTTCTTTTTCTTGTCAACTTTCAAGCTTGGAAAACAACTTCTATTTGCCCCTATAAATCTTCCCGAGAAGCTAAAGGAGGTGCTAAGGAATCTTCCCTCACGCATTCCTACATAGGCGTAATCTTCGTGGGGGCGGCGGGGCTTCAGCCCCCGCCGAAATTTTCAGGAAGGTATTCAGCCTCCCCCGGGAGCCACCCTTGCTCCTAGCAAAGCAATGCCTCTGGCCCAGCCCCAGCCCCCCCCGGGAAATTGGAAAGTCTACACCCTTGCATTCCTATGATAAGCGGCAAAGCAGAGCTCCGGGGCGTCAACGTCAATATAAATACAAAGGGCAGAGTAATATATTGAAATCTCCTATCTGCTATTTGGAAAACACTTTAAATATTGAAGAACAGTGACTTACTTGATTTATGGGGTCTGGATGTAAAATGGCGATGAAGCTGGCACTCTTAATGGCGTAATTCCACAGAGACGATTGTTTACAAGAGTCTCGGCTTAAGTGCGAAATGGCTTTTTTAAGACAAATCGGAGAGGACTGGCAACTGTCAGAAACCTTTTGGGACGACATTATTCTATGAATGCAAACTAAAATACTTGAAGCTATCTTTCCATTTTTGGAACAAATCGAAAGTGTTTTTGAGAGTGAACAGACTAGTTTACTTGAAATAACAGACCCTCCATTGCAAATGACTCCATCCTTGTCTCAAAACCTCGATCGGTCTGGAGATGTGATCCCTAATACGGACTGCTTGAAGTACCAAGTTTTCTTAGTTACCAAGCACAATGAGGCGTTTTTACAAGCGTTGGGCTGTTTGATCTTGCATACAAGCCATCTGGAAGGGGAGGAGGAGAATTTCAAAGCGTCTTCAGAGACTGAACAGACTTAAGCGTTACTACATAAGTAAGATTGAGACCTTCAAAGATCAAAGGCACAGGAGATTAATAATTTTGGGGAGACATTTGCAGGGAAAACAGAAGAAATATAAACTGTATAA